AAACAGGAAAATCTGCACATAATAACAAAGATAGCAACTATCTGGCAAATCTGCATCACAAGGAAGAAAAATACTATGATTAAACATAATAAGACTTCACTTGAAATGCAAAATACTCAGGAAAAAATCCTGCCAACTCGCACAAGGACCAGCAAAGAGGAAGTAGCTGACTATGCAGCAAAGCCCATCGTGTAGGGAAAGCATAACAGCAGAGAACCAGATGCTACTACACAGCCTTTGCCATTGCGCTGAAGTGATTTCTATTGCTTGTTTCTGAAGTGCATGACCATCAGCCCTTCTAGCTTTGCTCTCGCTGCAGTGCTTCTTGAATTCTGAGCCATAACAAGTACCTATTGCCCAAAGCATTGCTATCCTTTCCTTATAGCATCTGTGAGCTGCTAACACTGCTGGCTCAAGCAAGTTCAGCCAGTAATCATTCCTAACATTTTCCAGCACTGTACTCCTTCCACAGCTGAACCCTAGGTAACAGCAGGACTGAGATTATCTCAACAAGAGAGGAAAAGCAGAGAGCTTGCAGTGCCACTTAATGGTTCCCTCCCTGAAACTATAAGCACTGAACACAGTCTTGTTACAGCTGGGGGCTCCCTTTATCCCACTACATAAATGAAATCTTTCATACCGAAAGATCTTCACGCAATCTAAGATTTCACCTATTAAAGTAACACATTGCTATCATAAACGTGAACTCCCAAGTAATAGAAAGCAGTTCTGACGTATAAACTCCTGAATGTCTTGGCATTTAGAGTTAGTTTTGAACCCTCTCTAACCCTTCAGTTACAGCCTGCGCTACACAGCTTTAAACTTGACTTTCCACTTTCAGCAGTCATTTGCATGTATGTCTCTTCAAAGAATGGTATTTGCAACTGTGTGTTGTAATGAGAAGCTAATTAACACAAATATGGTTATTAGCAAGTTACAGACATTTACAAGACAAAAACTCCAGACCAAAGCCTACGGTTTACTGCGTCACAGGGAGAAAGAATCTCAAGGATGGACTAATAGCAACCACTAACTACATCACCATGGGCAAATCGCCAACACTGCAACTCTGTTTCCCCTTCTGCAGTGGGATTGTAAAACTCATTTACTTTGCCAGGTAGTTCTCCAGCTTAATTAAATCATTACCTTTAAATTAAAGGCATTACAGAAATGCCAGGAAGTAGCACCTGAATTAGAAGGTGGGGATGACACTGTAATGAAGCAAGACTATTTTCACCATCAACAGCAGGCGCAGTAAAAGGTCATTCACAGCATAATTGTGAAACCACATTCCAAGCTTCTGAAGGTAAGATGACTTTTCCCAAACCTTCATTAAGGAAGAGGATACATGCCAGCATCACCAGATGCTGTAGTGTCACAGGTGATCTACAGTGATTTCATTACTGCTAATCTTCCCTTTTCCTTGTTCTTTGTTTTCTAATAGCAGCAAAATATCACAGCTCTTGAAAGAATACTTTCCACAGGCAACCATTTTCAGTATGATCAAAGACCTATTAAGAAAATTGCAGAGGAATATTTCCCTTCAAGTCAGTAATGCTCAGCACAGAGTTTTCAATCTGTCCTTCATAAGAGACACAGTAGAGGCACTCCCACTTTTCATCTGGGAGAGCTGCTCCCAGATATCACTGTACTTTAACATCTGCCATGCACAACCCCATTTTCAACCCTATGCAAACACTGGGGCATTGCTGGAAGATGCCCTGCTACTGCTCAGGCTTTTTGTTTTGAGGGTAGCAGAAGAAACTTATCTTTAAACCATAGGAAACAGCCAGTCGGCAGCAGAAGCCCAGTTTCATCGGGTATTCTCAGCAGAGCTGTGCCTCAGTGTAAGGCACAAAGCTGAATATGTCCTTATCCCAAACTGCACTCCAGCTCTGTCACAGAACGCCCCAGATACTAAAAGGCACATCTCATCCTAAAACTGTCCCATCTGTAACGGGAAGTCATCGAAATCAAAACTAGGAAAACAGGTGCCTCTTTTCTTTGTTACACTTGAAAAAGATGCCCTCAAAAACCCATTACATCCCATCTCTGCATTTAGAATGAGAGTGTAAACAGCAAAAACACCCTTCTGCTCCTTATTGCTGAAAGGTGAGCAGGGAGACACACTCACATAGGAAAGGTCAGCCTGAAAAATGCTTTCTATGCTCTGAGATCTCTCTGCATTGACTGGATGCATGCTACGTAACTTGTTTGGTTAGAAAATAGAGGAAGATGCTCTGAAAACTACATTTGCAACAAATAACTCCATACATCCCCTTGTTCCTATTGATAAATATAGATTTTCTTTAAAAATGTGTATCTGTGATCAGAACAATCAAAACAGCTGGAAAGAAATTTTTTTTCATTAAGTGAGAAGGTGCACTTGTAGCATTGTGCCCACACCACCCCATTCTCCAGCTTCTGTAACGCCTGTTTGCCAGCTGCCTGCTTTGCAGTCCCCTGACTCCTGCATTTGGCTAAATTTGACAGCTGGAAGAAGCCCCAAAAGCTCTCAACACTTCTCTACATATAAAAAAGAAGGAAGGAAAAAGCTGTGTCCAGGTGAGACTCATAGACAGGCCAAGAGACAGGTTAGTGACAAAGACCACCACCTCGTGGCCTCAGAGAAGCCGTGCCAGGGATCAGCCTGGACACACCGACCCTCAGGGCCCAGTTTCCATCGGTACTGCTGATACGCGGTGCAGACAGAGCCAGAACCAGGAATTCGCACTACTTCTCACAGCAGTTTGCTGGCCTTCGTTAAATCATAACTTCTCATGCTACTTCCCCTGCCATAATGAGGCTAGTGTTAAACTGCCTTATTATGTTGCTGCAACAATTCATATTTGCAAAGTACTTTGAAGGTCTGAAGAGCTGTATTCACTAATTATTACCTGTCTTGAGACACAAACTGAATATTCAAAGCGCTGGCCTGATTCATATGCAAATACACGTCACATAAGCATGCGGTATGCACTGAGACTCAAAAATAATAGCAAAGATGGCTTTTAAAGAAGAGTTTGTTCTAAAGTCAGTTTTCAGTACAAAAAAATACATGATTCTTATGACCACAATTCTTCCGTTAGCTTGAATTTAAATTATTCCTTGTTGTTTAGATGAGCACTCTATAAAACATCTCTTTGAGAAAATAAACACCAGCCAGCACAAGACAAAAAGATGATGCAAAATGATCCTGTCCCTGAAGGAAAGTCTGATGCTTCAGAACTTAAACCTTTGCTATCGAGCTGAAAGCTAGCCAGCAAGTTCCCCACAGCAGCTGATGGGCAGTGCAGAGCCAGAGCTTGTGCTAAAAGTACCGGCAATCGGAATGGTAATGCAGCATCACAGCAGGCAGGTGCCTTTATCCTCTGCTCGGTCAGACACTTTGCAGCCTTCCCACAAATCAGCATGCTTCTCCCATCCCTTGCGAGCACATCTCATGCATTGATGACAAACAAAAGCAAGATGAGAAAGCCATTGCTGCAAGTGCTATAACAAATAGACTGCTTATGTGTTTTTTACAATCCTTACTGCGTTCACCTATGTGTGAGAAGGAACAGCTTCCAGAAAAGGAAAACTTTCCACAAGTTAAAGGAAAACGGTGCTTTGAAGACAACCTGCGTACTAAACAGACTCCTATTTGAGGGTAAAACAGCAAACTACAATTTCCTTCAGTAATAACAGAGTGATGTTGCATCTTCATCCTCCTGCATCACACTGAGCCAGTACTCAGTACCTCCCAACTGGGCCTTCACATTTCCTGAAGGACTGAACCATAATAAGAAACCACAACAGCAGGCAGGTAAATTTTCATTCTAATCCTCCCCACCTCCCTACCCCAAACTAAACCAAACCACTCCAGCCAACATATTGTGACAACAATGCCAAGATGCATCCCATGCGCACTATTACTGCCCTACAAACATACATTATTTTAATGCAGCATAAACAAATACTCTCATTTGTTTAACACCACATCGAGCCCCAGCGATTAAAACATGTATAATGCACAGAGCAACGTTCACACACGTGCTTTTAATAAGCTCTGAAGATAAAATTATCAGTATTGCCATACACAGAATATGCATTATTTTTTAATTACACGAAACAGCTGAACAACACCGAGCCTCCCTCATTACAGAATCACAGAATGGCCAGGGTTGGAAGGGACCTCAAGGATCATGAATCTCCAACCCCCTGCCACATACAAGGCCACCAACCTCCACATTCAATACCAGCCCAGGCTGCCCAGGGCCCCATCCAACCTGGCCTTGAACACCTCCAGGGACGGGGCATCCACAGCATCTCTTGCAGCTGTTCCAGCACCTCACCACTCTCATAGTACAGAGCTTCCCCTTGACATCCAACCTCAATCTTCCCTTTCTCGACTTAAAACCATTTCCCCTCGACCTGCGGTTCTTCCAAAGAGTTGATTCCCCTCCTGTCTCTAGGCTCCCTTTAGGTACTGCAAAGCTGCAATGAGGTCACCCCGCAGCCTTCTTTTCTTCTTCTTACAAATCAGCACAACTTCGGTTCTCATTTTTCTCCAACAGGCGGGGAATACCGGCACTGCGAGCATCCTAAGGCGCGCCGTCTCAGAGCCGTAGAGCACTGAGTCTGAAGGAAGGAGGGCAGGGAGCTCCTGAAGGACAGACAGCCCGGCTTCCCGCAGACACAATGCCGCGCACACCATCTCCCGTCGGGCTGCGGATGGCGCTGACCCGGCGGCAGCTGCACCTGTCAGCGCCGCGCACACCGAGGATCGATACCGGCGTCCCTCAGCGCCGCTGCCGCCCGACCGCACCGCCCGGACGAACAAAGGGCTCCTCTTCGGGTCGGCGTTAAAATTCACGCTAACTAGAGAACAATACCGCCCGCACCTCCACACCCCCGCCCGGGCACGGCGAACCGCTGCGGCGCTGCCCCGCCAACCTCCGGGCCGCCCCGCTCGCCTGCGGAGCCCCGGGGCGGCTCGGCGAGGGGCGCGGAGGCCTCACCTGCCACCGTGTACCGGTCCAGGTAGTTGAGCACGTTGCCCACGCTGAGGATGCCGGCGGCCGCCACCCGGGCCCGGCCGAGGCTGGGTGCCTTGCGGCGGACGATCGGGCGCTCCGGGCGTTTGCCGACCGCCGGCGGGTTCATCCTGCCCGATAGGGTCTGCACTTCTCCCTCGGCGCCCCGACCGCAGCAGCCCCGTTCGCCGTCCTCTTCCTCCTCTTCGTCCCCGGCTCGGAGCCGCCCGCCGCAGCCCGGGCTGCTGCCGGAGGAGCCGTCGCTTTCCAGACACATCATGGGCCGCTAGCGGGAGGCGACCGCGCCGCGCGGTGACCGCCTCAGCGCTGCATCCCGCGGCCGCCTGCCCGCGGGACCGGCCGCGTCGCCGCCGCCTCCTCTGACAGCTGGGCGGGCGGGGCGGGGTGCTGAGAGGCGGGGTTACGCGCCGGTCACGCCCACCCCGCCCCGTTGTCCCCCGTCCTCACGGCGGCGCGCGCCCCGCGCCCGCAGCCGCCCCCCAACGGCTGCCCCGCGAGCTTCCCGCGCTTTTCGCTTCCCGCCCTCTCCCCTGAGGGGCGTTCTGTTCTCCTCAGCCCGCCTGAGGACGGCACCTGCCTCCGTCCCCGCGGGCGGCGGGGAAGCGCTCGAGCCAGTTTGAGTCGCTCTGCTTTGGGCCTTAATATTCAGTGCCCTTGATGTTAATCTTCAGCGCTACGCGGTCATTCATGAAAAATCGACATTGCCGGATCGCGGGACTCCAAGCAATACCAGTACCCGATAAACTTGGTACACTCGATAATAAACTCCACAGAGGCAAGCTAGGTCCACCCTCAGATCAGCTCGTAGCCACAAATCCAGCTCTCGCGCCGTGCCAGCTCACAGCTGGCTGTGCAGGGCTGCGCAGGACGGGACGGTGTTCTCTGATGTTCTGGAATGCGCTGCCGACCTCACAGCTTCCTGCTCAGCCCCGGCTGATTTTCCTATTGCACAGAAGTGGCTTCAGGAACAACACCCGTCTTCAAAGGAAGTAAAATAGCTCCAAAATTCCCCATGGTGGAAAGGGCTTCGCCCTGCTCCCTATAAAGTTCCACCTCAGAAGAAGGACCAAGAGACATTCTGTTTTAAAAAGAGGAGCCTTCAAAGAGACAAAAGTGTTCATAACCAGAGCGGCTCCAGCCTGACATATCCATGCTAAGGCTGCAAAAGTGCTCCAAAATAATAATAAAATGACAGCTAAGGGTTCACATGCACCTGCCGGCAGCGTTGTGTCACGATTTCGGAATTCTTACCTACAAAACTGTATCTGGGATACATATTTAAACAAAACCTGACACCTACCTGGGAACAAACCGCATTGCTCAGGCGTTGCTCATAGCCTGCTTTGTCACACGCTGCTCAGAGCACAAGCAGCCCCAGCCCTGGCCAGGCACTGATGACATCAGGGCTGGGCTGTGCCACCAACCTGGTGAGATATGGCAGGAGGAACCCCAGCAGGTGAAAAGGGCACTTTTAGTCAGCGTGATTTTGATTGCTGCTTGGGCAACGTGCCGGGAAGGAGAGGAGCCAACATCACTTCTGATGACACGTGATACTCCCAACAAGTAAGTGAGAATCGGTCTGCATAGATGCTACAGGGAACTGAAATGGAGCAGAGGAGGCTCAGAGAAGACCTTATCGCTTTCTACAGCTGCCTCAAAGGAGGTTGTGGAGGGTGTGGGTCAGCCTCTGCTCCCAGGTAACAGCAATAGGATGAGAGATAATGGCCTCGAGTTGCACCAGGGGAGGTTCAGGTTGGATATTAGGAACAATTTCTTCTCTGAAAGAGTGGTGAAATAGTGGCTCAGGCTGCCCAGAGAGGTGATGGAGTCACTGCCCCTAGAGATGTTCAAGACATGTGAAGTTGTGGCACTGAGGGATGTGGCAGTGGTATGGTGGGGATTCGCCAATGGTTGGACTAGAGGATATTAGAGATCTTCTCCAACCCTTACGATCCTATGATGTCAGTAATGGAAACAGATTCACTTGCGTTAATACAGGATGTTCCAGTTAATGTCTGAATCTGAGGAATCTTTTTAGTTGGTTTTTGGGGTTTTTTTTCTTTTTTTTTTTGAAGCTGTTAAAAGCATGTGCAGATCAGATTTGACTGACTGCATGGTGAAGGTTATACTGAAAAAAACTGTTTCTTCACATTCCCACTAATTCCAGAATTCATGTAGTGTACAATAATGTGGTCAAGTGATAGTGCTCACCTAGAATATCCCATAGTCCAAAAGGAGAAAATCAGGGTATAATTGAAAACAATAAAATAAAATCAGGAGTGAAATGGCTTTAGCAAGACCACAGATCTTGGCCAGCTGTGAAGGCAAAATCAATGGGTTAAGGCAGACAGGCAGTGAACACAGCTGAACTGAAGGATGAAAGTTTCAGATATTAGCAAAAAGTTATCCAAAAGAGTGGCCAGGCGCTGGCATAGACTGCCCAGGGAGGTGATAGCATCACTGCCCCTGGAGATGTTCAAGAAACGTGGAGGTATGATACTAAGGGCCATGGCTTAGTGGGCAATGCTGGTGGTAGGTAGACTGTTGGACTAGGTGGTCTTAGAGGTCTTTTCCAACTCAAATGATTCTATGACTCAAAGGACTCCCAGAATCCCTCACCTATGTATTGTCTGCTCCAAAGTCCGTTCCACTCTTTGCTCACTGCTTGGGCTGCCCATGGGCATTGCAGAGCCCGATGTCCAGTCTTGTGTTGCAGCGAACATTATGTTCGGAAGATGTTAATGAGATTAACAGGTAGGGCAAAATTAAGGAGCTTAGTTTAATGCATCAAATGCTCCCCTGGAAAGCAGTTATATTTAGGAAAGACGGCCATCAAATAAGGAGCAAAGCTGGATGGAGCTGAAGTGGCTTATAAGTGTATCCCTTCAATTCAGACACAGAGAGGAGCTTCAGGTCAGGAGTATTCACAGACAGAGCACAAAGAAGGAGGCGCTGGTTAGGCTGTTACTTCCATACAGCCAACCGTAGCACCTTCAACTCTACATGGAAACTCACAAACAGAGCAGAGCAGATGGCAGTGCATCCATATCATGGGACTTATGTGAAGGAAAAACAGAGGGAATTGGAAAAATTGTGATGGAATTGGCATTAATGGCAAGATGATTCATATTCCTGAACTGCTAAAATCACTGGTTACTGCCTCTCCAGAGGAACAGAGTATATTCTGACTTAAATACACTACTGGTATTTTTTGCTGTTACAGGTTGTTGAGAGGGGATTTGATTACAGAGTGCAAGTTCTGTCACGGGGAGAAAAATGCCAGCACTAAGAGCTCTAATCAAGTGGAGAAAGGCATAGTAAGAATCAGAACAATGGCTGAAAGCTGGAGTTAGAAAAATCCTAATGAATTGTCTGGTTCACATTTGTTACTGAATGATTATACCCTGGAACAAAATGCTAAAGAAGGATGTATTCTCCACCCCTTCATGGCATTGCATTCATGTTGATTGCCTTTCTATGAAGTACATTATTGAACTCAAATATGAGCTATTGCAATCCACACCAAAAGCTGTCTCTTTGATTTAGTGATATAAGGAGGTCAGGCTGGGTTCAAGTGGGTTCCCTTGGGTTCAAGTCCGAACCCTGAAGATAGAAATTCTTACACTGTTAGCCAAGCACTCATTTTCAGCACCCACTTCAGTCTTTGGGTAGATCTGAGCTTAGCCCCAAAGAAAAGACATTACATCAACCAGATTGCTAGACAGTGGTGCTCTCATAGCCCTGATCACAGAGAGGAACAGCACCCCCCCTTGAGCATGTCCCCAAAAGCCCCCCATGCCCGAATTCGCAGTTGTCTTTTCCTCATGGTCTCAAACACAGGTTTGCTGTCTGGATGAAATCTCATGAAGCCACTCACATGTCCTTAACCATTCTCTGCTGGCTGATACCTGCAGACATATTTCTGAGACTTCAGCAAGGCAAAGAACAAACTCACTTGTTAGTAGCCCTGCTCTTTACTAGTGCAGTCAACAATGTTTATCCCTTCAGAGATTATTTTCTTCCTTCCATTATTTTGTTAGTATTTTAAAAGCCTGAAAATATTTATTTTACTTTATCCAATCTGCACTTACTGATCTTTCTTCATCTCAGAGTTTTAGAGCTGGTCAGTATGAGCAGCGGCACTTGTTTGACAGCAGCTATATTTTATCCTTGAGGAAACAAAACCACACTGCCAGCACACAAACATTACATCTACAGCGATGTAGACAGCTAGCTGGTCCATGGGCCAGACCTGGTGCACAGGAAGTTTATGATCAGACTGCTACTTTCTCTCATTAAGATCCTCTGGTGTTAGGCATCATCAGCTGCCTTATTCCCCACCCCTTATGTTGGAAATGGCAAGAAGTGATTGAAAGAAAATGCCTTTCTATCCCTAAACTCTGCTTACTTGGAATCCAGATTCCCTCTTAATTTAATAAAAATCTTGGGAAAGTCACTTTTTTGTACTTTAAGGTCACAACAATCTCTGTAATACACAACTGTCAAAGGGCTGGAGTCTCCCTAAAGTAAATCTCTGCAAAAACTTACAGCCTACCCTCATCAGGAGCAGTTGCTGCCTGCAATAACCTAACATATTAGACCACAAGGAAAATGATTATGTCTCAGATTTTGTCTTTTTCTCATGTTTTGCTAAATCTGGTTTGAAGTCAAGACTCAAGCACAAGGACATGCTCAATATCTCTTATTTAAGAAAAATAAAGCACAGAACACTGAACTGCAGGATCACAGACCCCAGATTTCAGATATAAACATCAAACAGACCAAAGATTATGAGAATTTGCATCAAAAGGTAATCGTCCAGGTTGCAGGAGCACAACACAAGACAATGACAGAACTCTGCAGCTCTATCCATTTTTGGACATTGAGCAGATTGCAACTCTGCAAGAATAAAAATAACAACCCTGCAATTACCTACATTCCTGTTATGTCCTGGCCTCCATTTTCTTCATTATCTCCTTAGCTAAATTGTCCTGTTACTAGCAAGCGATCCTGGACAGCTGCATTTACAAGCCTCATCCAGCTCAGAAGTTTCTTGTGCTGTCCTGCTGAGAATCAAACAAGTCTTCCAGTCCAGCTAAGAGGGTTACACGTGAGCCTGAATCTCCATGCTGCCTGGCAGTCACTCTTTGAAACAGGCTACCTCAACTACCTACGGAGACCAGCCTCCTAATTTAGTTGAGATGTGTGTTCAGTGTTTGGTGATGTGAATACCACCCAGGTTAGCGACTTTTTTCTCCACACTCACACAT